GATATCTTGTAAAATGTCTCGCAAATTTTAATCCTAACACAATAAACAATGGTCAAAACGGAAAGCACTATACCTGCTTAAAATGACTATACCGATAAAGGTATAAACTATACTGCAGTACATGCATTTTATCATTTGGACTACATATTTTTGATTGTCTTTCTTTGGTTCTTTAGTAAGTCATTTGGCATATTTATACTGTTTTAATGTGACATATGGTTGTGGAGTGAATAATTTCTTTCCTGAAGACTTTCTGCTTACTAAATGTGGCCTGTGTTTTGTTTCCTTGATAGATTCATGTCACTGTTGGATCTGACAGGGGTATTACTGTGATTTATGAGGTGACTGATCCAAACATGTCATCATCAAAAACCCTCAAACCTCTTTAACAGAGCATTTATCCCCCAATGTGAAACCAAATGACTTCTCCTGTGCAGTTTCGGTCTCACATCTGAAAGCACCACACTCCTCATCCCTCTACTCTGTTTATGTGGAGGTCTGTAACCCTCTTCGGTTTGAAATAAGCAAACTTCTGTTGCGCACGAAAGGCAGACAAAAGAAAGAAAGGCTTTCCACACAATGCAGGGAGAGATACCCGCCTCAACAGTTTACACAAATCCTGAATGAAAACAGTATTCTTTTGTAATCTTATCTGGGAGATGTTGATCGAGCGTCGGGTTTGGGGGGTGGGGGGGGGGGAGACGGGGGCCTGGGCTCGGCTCCCTCTGCTGCCTCTATTATGACTGGCTCTGCAGACTGGCTCCTCTGATCCACTGATTGGACGCAGAGCCACATGGAGCCGCAGAGGAAAAGAGGGAGAGGGGGAGTCTGCAGTCGCCATCTCTGGGTGAATCTCTAAAATTGATATCTGAAAAGGAAGCAGTGCTGATAACCTCCTGCTCTGGCACAGGTGGAGCTAGTTTAACCTAGAAGTCTCTCATTTCTCTGTCTCTGATTCCAGGCCTCATTTTGGAGGTTAAAGCTGCAAAACTGAGGTTTAAAACAGGCTGTGATTTATAAATATAGATAAAACTATTTAAATATACAAAATGGTGTACCACAAGGCTCCTTACTGGGTCCTATTTTATTCACAATTATACCAGTCATTTATGTAGAAATGTACCAGACATAAAGTTTAAATTCTATGCTGACAACAACTTATGTACCCTTCTATATCTTCCCTAGTGATAACAATTAAAGAACTACAAGCTGCTTCCAGATCAATCTTTGGAAAGTAGGACTTGTACTTACTTCCAACAGAACATGATCCCTCTGCTGGTTAAAAGAAAAGAATATTGCAATACATATTTTTGTGATATCAAAGTGTGACTTATACAGCCTAATACAACTATATGATAGAGCATTTGTGTATCTGTCTTTATAAAAAGTCAAACTATATGAACTGCCTTCTTATTTGTGTGCTCTACTGGATCCTAAAAATCTTCGCTTACATAAACTTATTGTGTTAGTCTCTGTTTTTGATCAAAGCCATTTATCTGACCTCCACAGCTACAGTTTGTTTTCTCTCTCTCTCATTATAAGAAGGGTTAAATGTATTTTTAGCATGTTTTCTGAGCAATTGTCATCCGTCTTCCTTCTCTTAAGGATGTGAGAAAGACGTGCAAGAAGTTTGCTCTGATTCTCCTGAAGAACACCTGCAGCCGTTTAAGGACAAGATGGAGGCTTTTGTTGTCAGTGGTGAGTTATTCCAGTCTTACTTTATATCACACAGCTGCAGACCTGAGTGTTGCTTTTGCAAATTTAGTTTGGAAAACACAAACATTAGAAAAATGACAAGACTATGGGTTAAATTTAAGTTTTTCAAGTACTTACATTACTCTAGTCTACTGTGGTTAAAGTCAGATAATTGTATAGTTACTGCTATAAAGATCTTTGTCCTTTTTGTGTGTGTCTATGCGTGATTGTGTGTCCGCTTGAGAGAGATAGGATGGATCAGAGTAAAGGCTAGACACTCAGATAGGGATCAGACAGTTTTTGCAGTGACTGAAAGACTCCTGCAGGAGACACTCAGACATTGGAAAAAATAGTCATCCAACTAGCTTGGCCTTTTTGTGTTCACTCATCTTAAAATAAATCACAGTATTTTCTGCAGAGGAGCGCTTTACTACACAGCTGTTTGAAAAAAAAAATAGGTACATACCCTTTTGTGTGGCCAGTCACATGAACACAGTAACACTGGGCTGTCTTTTCATATTTCTAAATAATTCAATAAAAATAACATACAGTATATTTTCAAACGTTTTTTTGAGGGTTTTTTTTTCAAACATGTGAAGTTAGCCTAAATGCAATGTTTGCCTTGTAAATTACAAAAAGTGTGTTTGAGGGGGAAACGTGTATCTTGAGACACTTGAATGAAACAAATAAAGTTTTGTTAAGAAATGTGTCTTTATTGTAAAAGTATTTCTCACAGTTTCACCATGTGATGAACAGAATCCGACTTCCTCAAAGATAACCGACATGATTTGTCAAATAAGACATGTATCTAAAGGAGAATCCCTCTAAATCAAAGGCAGTATGCACATCATTTGTGTAAATGGCATCACGATTTGAAAGTTGCAGTAAGAATGGGTTGTCTGATACTTGAATCATCTCATGACAAGTTCTCATGGAGTTATTACAAGTAACTTAAAGTACATTTATCAGCAGAATATATAAGCAGAGTCTCCAGAGGGATAACATATTATATTAATAATCATCCATTGATTTACGTATTTTGTTGGGGGGAGGGGGGATCTGGCTATAACTAAGCTGTTTCTTTGTCTGATCCTGCAGCAAGAAAAGAACACGGAGAAGCTTCCTATCAACTGATGACTGTGCAGAAAAGGTTGGAGAATTCAATCATTGTAATTTTATAGTAAATGGACTTGAGCTTGTAGAACACTTTTCTAGACTTCTGACTACTCAAAGCACTTTTAAACCGCAGGCCACCCATTCACACACTAATGGTAGAGGCTGCTGTAAAGTGTCCAAAAGTGACACACGCTGCCGCCGAAGTAGCAGCGAGGAAGAACTCAGGGTTAAGTGTCTTGCCCAGGGACACATCTATGTGTGGCTGCAGGAGCTGGGGATCAAACCCCGACCTTCTGTTTGAGAGATGACCGACTCTACCACTGAGGCGTTTAATGTGACATTTATGTGAATTCAGATTCTATGTAATTCTATGTAAATTTAAGAATCTACATACAACCCACATTAGTTTTGATAAAATATGAGATATCATAAACAAGGTTAAGAAAGGTGTAAATATGAATTAATGCAGCCAAAGAAAACTGTAAGTGATGGTTTGAAGTGACATCCCTCAACACTCAAAGTAGAGATACACCTCCACCTTGGTTTACTGAATTGTTTTAACACTTGTCTTTTATGTACTTGTTGTTCAGTTTTCAGGACTTGGTTCTGTACTTTGGACTGAAGCCCAAAACGGGGGAGAAGGATATGACCACAGATCAATTCTTCATGCTCTGGTTTGAGTTCTGTGCCGACTTCATGGCCAGGTGGAAGAGAGAGAACAAGACCATCTCTAAAGCGAGGTACCGCATGCATTACTGGAACCACCGACAGTAATTAAGAGGATGAAGTTTTAGGTTCAGAAATAAATAATCCAAAGGACATTTTCTGTAAATTCAGAAATGAAAACAGTCTGCTTAACTGTTTGTAACAAAAAGTGTTGGTTCTCTGTGATGGTTGATATATGAGTATGATTTAGTCAGCTTCAACTTCTGTAAAAATGACATCAGTGAAGTGGCACAACTTACACCATTGAGGGTCAATGTCTGCTTCTTTTTGACATGCCTGAACTGAATTTACATTGATACAGACCTTCATTTATCCATAATAATAATAATAATAATAAGTGTAGCTGAAATGTACTACGTTATGGTGGATTAAATGTAATTGAAAATGTTTGAAATTGTTTTTTATTTATGCCAAAGTTGTTCCCAAACCCTGAACCAGTGAATTTGACTTTTCCAGATTAAAAGAGGCTCAGCTGTCCGTGAAAAGGATCACATCGGAGAAGAAAGTGGAGACCAGGAAGATCAACCCCAACAGCCTGGTGAGACTCACTTCAGTCAATACGCTGAAAACAAGCAACTTTTTTTTTAATCTGTGGGTAAAAACATACAAGCAGGAATGTCCTAAAGTACATCTTTAAGATTCAATATAAATAATAATTCACCATAAACTAGAAATCCACAGAAAAGGTTGTGTTTAAACACTAAGCGCAGAGCTTTAAGAAATGCACAGCCCATATATGTCTATGAAATCCAGATTCTGTTTTGCTGCGTTTATTGAATAAGTAGAACGTTTGTTTTTTTTAACTCCATAACTCTGTACATGTTTGACTCCTAACAGAAAGAGCGGCTGCGACAGAAAGAAGCCAGCATGTCTTCAAATTAACTGATTAAGGAGGCGAAACAAGCGGGATCCCTCTGGACGGATATACCACACCACAATTTTTTATGTTTTGAACATCCAATGCAGTTCTTCTATCCATCAGCTGACAGCTTTACGATATAGATTTTACTACTTAAAATGTAATTACATTAAAAAGATTGAAAAAATGTTGTGCAATATGTAGACTCGAGATATTCTTTGTACTGTATAGATTTGAATAGATTCTCACATTATCTGCTTTGATTCTACATGTACAATCTCATCTTTACTTTAGCTTTCTGATAAATACTTTTTTGTGTATTAAATCCAACCTGAAAACATGTGTGAATGTGATTTCATAGCTTTGGCACTGTTTTATTTACAAGATACTTAAGAACACACATATTATACAAATCCATTAAAATGACGAGGCATGTAGCAGTGCAGGTTACATTACTAACATCTCCATATTGGAACAGTCTTCAGCTTTACATCCCACACAGTGGACACAATACAAACATCAGAAATCTAACACACTTTGCTGCATTTCTGTTATTCTGCGTTTCTGCAACAAATATGAGATTATGAAGTGTTACAATCCAAAGCTCTCATTGACACTAAACACTTGACTGAAGCACAAACTTTGTTAAAGTCCATCCTGCATGTAAAATCTTCCAGCAACCAACTTAATAACTGGTATTTATCTCGACATTTTGAATATTTGTTTAACGAGTATTTGCAGGAAAATCTTTATTTTTAAAGGGAACGTGGTGAGTGTATTGACCTGTTTGTTGTCCATCAGCAGAATAAGTGATAAATTGGCTCAGGTAAGTTCCTCACCGTCCTGTTCACGCGTTATTTTCAAGTGTCCCGTTAAAAAAAATAAACTGCGTTTTATTTGATCACAAAGCTGCACACATCCCCTCAGTGGAAACACGGTTTTATCGATCTGGATGTAGAGATATGTTGTCTAATCCGTATCTATCGTCGTGCAGCGACACTGCTTTACGCGCTGAATCCGTTTCTTCCGGGTGCTGGGCGTCTGACCCGGGCAATAGAGGGTGTAGGTGACGGTGCTGAAGGTTTTTGGTTTGCAGGCAGAGCAGGACTGAAAGGCGTCCCCGTCCTGGTAGTTATGTCTCGGGATGTAGAAGGAGTTACACTGCCCGTAGCAGAAGCGGTTGATGATGGTGCGGCTCAGGCAGCCCTCCTCCTGGATGGTCTGCTTCAGCGGCTGCGTCTTGCACCAGTCCAGCCGCAGGTACCGACGCTCCGTTACGTGCAGCGCCTCCTGACTGGACTCCAGAACCTCGTCGGTTGAGGTGACAGGCCCCGGCACGTGGGAAACGAGTCCACTGATGGCGGGTGTTTGGCATCCGTCCGATTCGTTTGGGTTGTATTTGTTTGGGTGGGGGAAAGCGCCCTGGTAGGTGGCGGCATCTGTACTCCACAACGGGCTGAGCAGCAGCGTGAAAACAGCCGCAGAAATCAGCGCTGATGATGTCTTCATCACTGAAGCTAATGAGAAAGACGCAAAAGTTAGACACTGATGGAGAGAACTTTACGCACAGCTTTTACGCGCGAATTACGCACCAAATTAATCGGCTTTTTTTCTAAATTTAAGTGAATTTCAGAGTTATAATAATCAGATTTCATGAATTTGAGTTACCTGTTGTGTGGTGAGGCTCTTCAAAGAAAATGTATCCAGTCATACAGTTCACACTCACAGCACTAGTTCCTCCTGTCCCCGCGTCCTCTGTAGTGGCTTTAAGAATGACACACAGCAGGATTTCTAAACTGAGATTGAGCAGGACACGCCCCCCCCAAAACCCCTTTATCCTCACTTTCTCTCTGAAAAGAGGGTAAAAAAAAAAAAAACTCCAGACTTTGTCAATGCAGCTAAATCTTTTATTTGACTTTACACAAACATCTACGTTAAGAAGATCCGACCCAATACAGATTCAGTAAGTCTCTGCAGTATGATAATTAGAATGGAATAACAATGTAATAATGTTACCATGCTACAGTGGTGAAGCTCACACGCACCCCCTTGTATAAATATGACAAAGCAAAGCTACTTCAATTCAAAATGAACAGAATATGATAAGTAATGAGTTGATTATCTGATTGCATTGAGACAAAAAAAAATAACCTTCAGTGTGAGTTCATTTATGTACAGTTGTGGATATAACTTTCTCATTCAACATTCCTTTAAATGAATATATCTCTATACAACCTCTTGTTATAATACAGAGCAGGATATGGTGTACACGGACAGACAACGTTTGTAACACATCGTATGTTAGCATTTTGGTTAACAAGCAGTCGAAGCTAAAGTAAGGTGAAGAGTCAACATGCCTTCAAATCGGTCGCAACAGAAGAGACTCCTTTTATGAATCTGTGATTCCCGAAGTGTCCAGAGGATCCTGTTTGTGCATGTGTGTGTGTTTCAGCCTGTGTGTGTAGCATGTTAAACAACAGAGTGTAAAAGTGAATTACCCCTCCTTGGATTACGAAAGGATATCTTCCGTTCTATAATAACAGAAATTCCTGCTTTTTCAAGGAGTTTATTTTCTTCCTGAAGCAGCCTTCATGAAAAGCAGAGCTTGTTTGCTTTTCAAGGTTCTTTCTTGAAAGCCAAAAGGTCAACAGTCAAGCATGATCCCTAAATTTCACAGTCTGACCAACATGTTTACCAAAGAGCTGGGTTCAAGAGAAGAGTTTTCTATACTGTTAAATGTTGCAGTTTCCCTGTCTTGAAGTGACAATTCTCCCTCGTGAAGTCGCATCACTTCAAGTCCTTAACGTTTGATTCCATTAACAAAGCTTTCTGAAGTTTATGCTTTGTAAGGGAAACATGACATTTTATTTTCTGAGCTCACTTTTCCACAGTTTGTTAACCAGATTGCTTTGATATGTAGTGTTAAAAAGTTGATTCTGAGAGCGTACTTCCATATTACAGTGAGTGTTGCAGGTGCAGGAGCTTATAGGCTTTTGGATTTAGGATCTGGCAACAGAGACGGTCGGTGCCACGTCCTCCTCTTCCTCGGAGAAGTGAGGAACAGATTTTTTGGCGACCACGTTCTCCAACCTCTGGCCCATTAAGTAGGGGTTGGTGCTCTGCAATAAGGCAGACAACAAATATAGAATACATACTTTAAAACATAGACTTCATATTTGTGTAATACTTTTCTCAAAAAAAATTGGGAGTTAAATTCTTGTTGAGAAACGATTATAGGGTACACCTCCTCCTTCAGGGGTAATTACATTTTAGCTCTGGTGTTGTGGTTTTTCTGACAATAAGACTAAAAAAGAAATAAAGAAATAAAACACTGTACCCTTTTTCTTCTTTTAGGTCCTCCCTTCAGCTTTTGGTACAACAGCTCCTTGTTCTGAAAGGAAAGGCAAAGAAAAATCATGTATCCTTCGCTTTGCAGTCCATTGTTTTTTTAAACACAAACAAAAAAAAAATATTCTTGATTGCAAAAAATACTCAAAGGGATTATTCTTAATGTCAGACAAAAACAACACACAACATTTGTTTGATCTTTTAAATCTAAATCAGCTCGACTTTCACAATGTTTTTTTGAGAAACAAAGCTGTAACCACGAGTTTATAACATTCATTGGAAGATTATGTGTCTTTTAATACAACTGTAGTTTTGTTTAGGTTTTTCGATATGTTATTTAGACTTCAAATATTCTCTCCTGATGACAAAGATGGCGTGCTTTTTGTTAAGTTTGCGGTGGCACTGCCTTCTTCATTAGTATGTCTGTGTTTGCTTCTTAATGACTCTAAGCCAATTCAAATTAAGGTCGAACCTCTAATCTTTCAAGTATAAATGTGTAAAAAAAAAAAAAGGAGGTTTAATTAATTTTTTTTGAAGTATTTAATTAGGTTAATATGTACTCACCCACTTAGCCAGAGCTGGGTAGTCATGCTCTGGGTCAAACAGGTGCTGGTGTTTCTGAAACTCTTTGCTGAACTCGGCTGTGTCTGGAGCGTTTTCCAAACAGCCGTCAGCCGCTGAGAGTGAGAAGAGACCCCGACAGAAAGAGAGAAAAGAGTGAGCCATCGTAACTGTTCAACAGCAACTTATCAAAAAGTCACTGCTTCAAAACGGCAAAGTACAAAGAGTACAACACAAAACTGAAAAGGATTGACACAGTGGCAGAAATAACAGCAACACAAATAGTCATGTGTGTTTTAATAAAATCTGTGATTCAGAAAAGAGTCTCTACCTGTTTTCCCCAGGGGACAGGGGTTCGGAGGGTCCGGGTATCCATGGTCCTCGCTGAAGTCTTTGGGAACATTGTCGCCTGTCAGCTCGGCCACAATGTTGGGGATGTTTCCAAAGGGGCCGAGATGCTGCAGCCCCTCGTGAGCACCACCTTATGGAGGAAAGACAGCATTACAATCAACACAAAATCAGCAACATTTATCAGGTGGGGAAAAAAGCAGGCATCAATAAAGCATTTGTGTATATTATGTTATATAAATATGAGATAATCTAAAGTAATGCTTAGATGTGTTTATTTGGTTTATATATTTAATACTTGGTATTCAGGGTTTAGATTTCCCCTAGGGAATGATCAACTGTTGTTTGTTATTGTAAATTGAAAAAGACGCATTCAAATTAAGACTGATATAAAGTGGGACATAAAGAGACAGAGAGAGAGAGAGAGAGAGAGAGAGAGAGAGAGAGAGAGACCAGTGAATTGAACATAGTTTAATGGTAGAAAAGATCTAGTTATAAAATCAAACCATAGACAATTAGTGCAGTATTTTATAACAGCAATGTTTTGTTTGACCAGAATGAAATGAAAAGAAGGAAAAATTTGAAGAATATTATTTAAATATGTAAAGAACTAATAAAGACATTAGAAGATATTTACTCAAAAATGTGCCTTTTGTACACACAAGCCCTTAAAGTCTTAAAGATCTCAGTTCTTCTCCTCTAAACATGTTAAATCCATCATACCCTGTATACTCTGAGGCCCGACGATGTTGGTGGCCTGATGAGCAGGATACTCCACCCGGGGCCGAGCGATGCCCAGCTGCTCCATGACGCCGTGCAGGAGCCGCTGGATGTCGGCCTCAGACACCTGGTCCACCGTGCGGGGGCTCCGTGCTGGAGCCCTGCCGACCTGCAGGCACAGGAGGAGGCCGAGCAACGATAACCGCACCGCAGAGCCCATTTCTGTCATCTGCAGAGGAGAACAACGCAGTAGATTTTAAAGCGCAACAATGGAGAGGCGTGTAATTGTCATGTGCAAACACAGCTGCATGTTCCTTTTAGACACAAGGTAGACTAGATACTCTACTCTTTATGTGTAAACAATAACATCTTAAAACGTTTTTATATTAAATGTCATTATAGTAAACGTAAGAGGCAACAGAGCCAATACGTCCAGTGTAAATAGTCTATAAATAGCCTCCATAACAGGACAATGAAACATAAAAACATCGTCATTTGTAACAACATGTTGTATTTGATTAAATGTTTATTTTTATCATTATAAAACATCACAAATAATCAAAAAGGCTTTTCTTGGTGTTTTTTCTTACCGTGTTTGATGGTAGAAGAACCTGTCTGCTGTGAGAGATGTAAAGCTAGAAAAAATGACGCGTCCGGCTTCAAAATAAAAGCCCACTTCACAAAACTGACAAAAAAGGGGGCAATTATTCTTTTGTTCCTTATCGTTTAGGCAATTTAATCTTTAAAAAAGTTTATTTAGCACACATTTAGACAGGAATGCTTCCACGTTGTTCTAAAAAGGAGCGCCCGTAAAGCCCTTCTTTACCAGGGAATTTTGTACTTACTTTATTTTGATGACCACTCTGTTCCCTTTGCCATTATGCAACCCTTGGAGGAGGATGCCTCACTTCACGGTTCAGATACTGTTGCTAGGACACCAAATATCCTCCCTTTTGATTGGCTGTTTTAATTTGCCAATTATTTATACATGACGCATCACAACATCGCTGCTCTGAGAATGAATAGAAGAGGTCAGGACAGTCTGCAGCCGAGATCACAACAAATCAATTAGGGGTTTTCTTCTAATGTATTTTCTTCAATGTGACATCATCAAGTTTAAGTTCATGTTAGTGTGATGAATTTAACTGTTTGCATTTTGTCCAATTCAAAAGTGAGAAAACTTTTTAATCCGACTGGATTAAAGTGTTCTTCGCTTGTTCATCAGTTTTTTTTCCCTTGAACATGTTTTTTTCCCCTCAATCTGGACTTGTGACCTCCAATGGTTATTTAACGTGCAGACAAAAGTTGAAATAAAAATTTAATTTGATCATTAAAAATATATCACAACATAATCCACACAAAAAAAGTCTTTGTTTAGAAATATTTACATTCATATAAAAAGGTGAACATTAAAATGTAACCCGACTTGTCTCACTAAAATGCTCTACATCACCTTATAAATAAAAACGGCTCTCTTACAGATCATACAGCAGTGATGTGGGTCAAGCCACATCACAGGTTCCCTATACTGAATGGCGTTTTTTCCAATGTATGAGCTGCAGTGTCCTGACACCAGTGGGCACAGAAGAGCTCTTTTCATCTGGTCCTTGGGGGAATCTTGAGGAACGAGGACAACAAAACAAAATAGAAAATCCACATTATAAGTCTTCATTTCTGTATATTACATAGCCTACTGGTTTTAACACAAACTCCTTGAAAAATGCAAATATACAACTTTCTAAATGAATAATACACTTCACACTTTGTTGATTTTGTTCACTTGACTTCTCAAAATGTAAAGAATGGTTGAAACAAAAGTGCATATTGATAAGTTGTTTTTCCACAAATGCATAAAAACGACTCGACTAAATGACCCCCCTGAAATCCATCTGGATAAGACTCACAAAAACAATGCCAGATTTCACAAATTCACTTTCAAATCTCCTATTTCAAAGTGATCTTTGCTGGTCATATGCTGTTAAAACACAACGTTAAATTCAATTAATAACCATGCTTTAAGTTTTCACCTTTTTAGTTTTTCTCGTGGGTTCTTGGAAGCCGTTTTGGGGGGATTTTCCAACAAAACTGCTGCAGGACTGAAACCTTTGTCTGAAACCACACATTTCACACATCATTATAATCTGTGTAAAATAGAAAGTCCACTTTTCTCTACAGCCTGTTTCTTTCTTGACAGTGTGTTTACCTGCACCGGGAAGGCAGGCCCTGAAGAGCTGCACGTTTGGGAAAGTCTCCAGGCCGAGGCTTCTCCTGATCGCCGGTCTGTCACCTGAGGAGGACTCTGCTTCTGCTCAGGGACTGGAGGCTCAAACTTTGGCTTTCCTTTAATCCAGGGCACCGTCTTAATGGAATGCATTCCTACAAGCATTTCAGAAAAAAGATATTCAGATGAGAAACATTTCATGGACAGAATCTTCCAGCGCGCTCCCATGTTTTACCTTTTAAACTGTGTCTTTTTCTAGGCCCTCTCTTTGCATCTTTGATAAAATGGAAATTCATCAAGTACTCCATACTGTCCATCACAGATTTAGGAATCACACCTAGCAAAAGGAAAACATCTCTCAATCTCCAGCCTGCATAAAAAAAAATCACTCATCAAAATGTGACTGAAGGATCTGTTGGTTACCGAATAGGTTAGGATTTTCAATGAAGGTGCGAAGGACCAGAACTCGGAGTTCAAGTCGTCCCTCGGACATTTCCGCCTTGTTTGGAGGAGGTAAAGACACGGAGCAAACACTGTGGCGAGGTTGGAGCTGGTCATCAAGTTTTCACTGCATCTAATAGAGAAAAACACAAGAAGTCAACTCATTCATTATGACACGTAAACATGTTATAAATTAACTCAGACATCCAGTCGAGTGAGTTGTGATGTGAAGAAGGGAAAGAGACCTTACTTCTGAGCCAATAAGAATTGCAAAATATGTTTGTTGTAAAGTAAAGTGATTCCAGTATATAACTGTGCAACTTCAAAATATTGAGTCATATTTCAATTGTGATCAGGAGACTGTTTGTATTAGATTAAAACAGCAGTTGTGGGGCGCTAGTACGGTATAGTCTTCCAAGTGGGTGGCCAGGGTTCAAATCCAACCTGTGGCTCCTTTCCCGCATCTCATTCCCCAATCTCTCTCTCCCTGATTTCCAACTCTATCCACCGTCCTATCTCTCCAAAGAAGGCACAAAAGCCCCCCCCCAAAAAAACCAGCAGCTGTTGCCAATTTAACCCTTCTGACTCCAAGATATGCACTGCAACCCCTTTATTTTGGGAGCTCAGTCCTCTCCATTATTACTTGTTTTTCCACAAACCTTTGGGAGATTTTGGACAGGAAGTCAAACAGGTAGTGCAGACAGGAGGAGTTTCTGGCAGGCAGGAGGCAGGACAGCAGCTGGAGGGCTGAAGTCCGGTCCTGAGGGTCGGACAGAGCCTGAGCTTTGAGCAGAGCTGCGTGGAGCTCAGAGGGAAACAGCGGCTCCGGCAGCTCCCTGCAGAACTGTTTGATGAGGGTCGACACATCGTAGGGGAGAGATGTGGACAGACACCCCTCTCCACGGTTCAGCTTGACCTGGGACAGAGTTTTGGGAAGTACAAAATCAGATATATCTTTCTGGACTCGAAAGTCACTGAACATAATTTGTTTATTCTCATATCAGAGAGAAACCAAAAGGAAGCAGGTTTTACTCCCACCATCAGAAGCCACTGTTAAAATTCAACAAACTATATAAGCTAAACAAAAATTAATCTCACCCTGATGATCTTAATGCGAGGAAGAGAGCCTGGTTTTCTGAACAGGCCTACAGTTCCAGCACGCTCCAGGAGCAATGAGCAAGCATCCACCAAAAAGCTGAGACACAACATATGAAATTAAAATAAAATAAAAAATCTTCAACTTGTTATTATTAAAGGATAATTCTCCTACTCACTCACCAGGGAACCAGTCCAAACTCAGGGATGTATCTCCTGGGCAAATTCTCCAGAGGGACACCAAAAACCTTGCACCGCTCATAAACAGTCTGTCTTTTCTCTTCTCAAAGCTCTTCACAGTTATCCCGTAAATCACCCGAAGATGAAACCGCATCACGTTTCTGTCAGTGGCCTTCATCATGGCTCAAATATCACCGAGACACTCCGAAAACAATGCCGCTAAATGCAGCAGGTCAGCAGTGAATGAAGAAGGCCGGTGTGACATGTTAATTAGTATCACCTGCGGCCCCACTGGACGAGGAAGTGAAGGTTAGTGAAGTGTTGTGTTCAGGTGACAGTGGGATAGTGGTTAACATGAGATTTTTAGATGTGATAGGAACGTGTAAATTAGATGAAGATAACTGTCTGAAGTTGCATTTATCCTGTAAGTAAGTTAATACTGTAAGCTACGTTTGTCATCTATTGTGTGCCTCCAATAGTCTGTAATACGGTATATACAGTCAGTAAGATACATTTGCTTTGCAGTAAAATGTTTTTAAGTGATGTACTAAGGTATGCCTACAGTGAATGTGTAGTTTTTTTTTTTTTATTTCAATTTGATGCAATACAAAAAAAATCTTGGGATCATTTTTTTGATTAAATGATATATTTAGTTTCCCCCCCTATATGAAATACTCTAAATTTGAACAGTTTCAAACCATGCAAAGCTAGAAATAGGCTACATGTTTGGCCCCTTCTAGACTACTAACTGATAACAGGGCTGTTATTGTGAGCTTCTAATACAAAGTGAATTTATTATAATATAGAAATCAAAAACGCTGGTAAAGCCAGGCCCATTGAAACACTAAATAATATTTGCCAAGAGGAAAAGTGAAGTGAGAACCCCCCTCCCGAAACTATTCTGGAAACAACAACTTAATAATTTGATTGTAAAAAAAGACCCAAAAACTTAGTGTTAGTTAGGGTTGTTGGATTATTGCAGAAATCATAAATACGATGATATGTGAACGGAGATCACGATTATTCAACAACACGATTGATATATATATATTTTTTTTTTACATCTGAATTACATGAATTATCAATTAAACATTCTCAACAAGCAATATATGAAACTGCATGAATTACAACATGTAAAAATATATTTAAAAAATATATATATTTATAATAATCAAATAATTAATAATAAATCAACACATTTTTGGAGGTCCTGGTGATGTATCCTTGTGGCCAAAATATAACAACAACACATGGAAACTTTAACCACACTTGATTAAACCTATGAATAGAACGAGCGCAACACAGCATGCATGCTGCACAGTAATCGTTTGACCTCCATTATCTTGTTTTCATGATCCTGGAAGCCCAAATTGTCCTTCAAATTAAAACTTCATTAATTGCCCAGCAGTAGTGTTAACTCTTCAGTTACTGCTGTAGTCTTTCACCCTCTATTTATGATTGAATTTCAGCCCCTGATCTTATCATATCTTAATTTGGACAACTAGACAAATAATGAAAAATGCATGTTTAACATGAAAATCACCATCATTTCCTGATATGCTCACATGGTTATTAGAAAAAATGAAAATGAGCCCTATGTCGTATACTACTATAGATTTATGGCATCGATTGAGATTTACTCTTGGATTGAGACTCAGACACTCAAGACTGTTTCTGTTAAAAGCAGCTATTTTTATTACAACGGTACATGTATATACAGCAAAAGGCACAGTAGAAATACAGGTATGTAAGGTAGGCGGGTGCAGTCTGTGTGGGGTGTTTGGTGCTGGTTGGAAGTTTAGAAGCACTTCCTGTGGACGATGGAGGGGCCTGCCTCATCGTACTCCTGCTTGCTGATCCACATCTGCTGGAAGGTGGACAGGGAGGCCAGGATGGAGCCACCGATCCAGACGGAGTATTTCCTCTCAGGGGGAGCGATGATCTGCAAAGAAGAAGAGCAGAGGTTGGTACAAGAACTTTTTTTTTTCTTGCAAAAATAATAAACTTGAGCATCTGGAGTAATGCACAGGACGCTGGCCAATAAGGGCTCACCTTGATCTTCATGGTGCTGGGGGCCAGGGCGGTGATCTCCTTCTGCATACGGTCAGCAATACCGGGGTACATGGTGGTACCACCGGACAGCACGTTGTTGGCGTACAGGTCCTTACGGATATCAATGTCGCACTTCATGATGCTGTTGTATGCAGTCTCATGAATACCAGCAGACTCCATACCTGTGCAGGTGAGAGAAGAGAGGTTCTTATTTAGCTAACAGTTGAAATATATACTCATACAAAATAGTGCTGAAATAAAAATAATACAGAGATTTTTTTTTTCATAAAACAAATGTGTTGCTTTACAATAAAACAAGGACTTAAATTAAATCATACATGTAAAAGCTAATTTGATATAAAAAATACTGCCCCCTACTGGCTATAATAGGTACATTTATTTTTTCACAAAATAGTTATATGCAGCTATAAGGCTATGATAGTGTTTAATCATACATGTTTTTTCATGTGTCCCATACATTTTTTGTTATATCACAATTCTAGTTTTTGAAAAATACATTAAAATACACTTATTTATGTAAAATATGTCAATTATGTAAAGTTTGTATACTGAATATTGTTTATAAATAGGATTTAAAGTAAAGTGTAACCTTAAAAATAAAATATAGGTAACTGCATTAAACAACATAGGAGTTGTTTGTTAATATATTTTTTTAAACTTTTGATTTATTTTATTATAATTTATCCAACGAGTATGTCTACTACTACTACTTTTTAATAGCTCATGTGATGTAGAAGCCTTTACGTTTTTTAATAGATAAATGTTATTTTTTGCATCTTTCTAAAACTGTAATTTCCTGAAACATTGTGTGTCATTTTAAACAAAAAATCTTCTGTCTTTGGTCACAAGTGGAGGAAACTTTCATCAACTATTCAGAACTGAACCAGATATAAAACACGCCTGTCATAATGTGTCAACAGGCGGTAACTGTCTCTGCTGACTCACCGATGAAGGAGGGCTGGAACAGGGTCTCGGGGCAGCGGAAACGCTCGTTGCCGATGGTGATGACCTGACCGTCGGGCAGCTCGTAGCTCTTCTCCAGAGAGGAGAGGAGGCAGCGGTGGCCATCTCGTTCTCGAAGTCCAGAGCAACGTAGCACAGCTTCTCTTTGATGTCACGCACGATCTCACGCTCAGCTGGCGGGAAGAAAACACGCAGATTACTTTACCAGTTCAACAACACTGAACACTGATGGATATAAAAACATAGACAGCTCTTTGTGTTACATATTTGAAACCATTTGAAATTTGATTAGTAGAATTAAAGGTTATTCAATAAATTACCTTTTAATTTCAGTTCATCTTAAAGCTGTTATTTATTTACAAATAGGCTACTTTAATCAACTTTATAAACTTCAGCAATTATACAATATTCACCGACCAGTTGTCTTTGTCTTAGAAAATATGAATGTATTGTTTGTTGTCTTTATCCTATAATAGCGGCTATATTAGAAGCTGAAGCTCAGTATTAGGTAGCCTACTATGTAATGGACATTACTTATTATATTTTACAAGACAAATAATTTGATGCCTTTTGACCAATTTAGGACAAATAACAGAGAACAAAATAAGTAAGCCAGACTTAACTATTTGTTTAGCTGAGAATATGAACTTTTAAAACTATGAAAAAACCTTTGTGATTTTAGGAAATTACAATTTTACTCAATGAAAAATAAAGTGAGTTGCTGCTGGCTGCTTTAAAAAAAAATAAAAAAATCAGTGGGTAGCCTAATGCTATGCTAGCTAATGCTTTCAAACCTTAGCTTGATAGATCATGGATTTCAGTGTTCTCACATGATAACTTACTTTTTCTTTTTGTGCTAATACCAGGTTAAGTGAGTTTATTAACCAATATCATGCAGCCCTATCAGTGGTGAATATAGTCCCATCTCAATACATTTACTTTAAACAGTAATCTGAATATAAATAATGGTGTGATTGTATTACTATGATTGTTCAAGTTTGTACACTTTTACATTATTAAAGACTTTTACCTATAACAAAGTATTTTTAAGTTTAGTATCATTCCTTTAACTTTGGTAAAGGATCTAAGCGCTTCCCACCACTACCTGTTGGTGTCACCGGTTTCTAGAGCGGCTATCCTGAAGCTTAAGTTAACTAGTTTAACTTTTAATGGCTGTAAATGAAATTCCCCTTGGGTGCATTAACACCTCTGTCCTCTTAAGAGTCATCCATCTTTTTTTTTCCCCCAGTCAGTGGTTTGCGCCTTCTTACCAGTTGTGACGAAAGAGTAGCCACGCTCAGTCAGGATCTTCATCAGGTAGTCAGTCAGGTCGCGACCGGCCAGATCCAGACGCATGATGGCGTGGGGCAGAGCGTAGCCCTCATAGATGGGCACGTTGTGGGTCACACCATCACCAGAGTCCAGCACAATACCTTTACAAAGACAGTTTGTAAGAAAACAGAATGCTTTTTTTTGATTGACGGAGAGTTTAGGTCCTTGGTAGAGACTCACCGGTGGTACGACCGGAGGCGTACAGGGACAGCACAGCCTGAATAGCCACGTACATGGCAGGGACGTTGAAGGTCTCAAACATGATCTGGGTCATCTTCTCCCTGTTGGCTTTGGGGTTAAGAGGGGCCTCAGTGAGCAGGGTGGGGTGCTCCTCTGGGGCCACGCGGAGCTCGTTGTAGAAGGTGTGGTGCCAGATCTGTGATGCAGGAACAGCGAGGAGTATGTCAGGGACACAATAACTGGACCTGATCGTTGTGAAATCTTTGAGGTTTTGTTGTTTGTCTTTGTGTCCGAGAGTCTCACCTTCTCCATGTCGTCCCAGTTGGTGATGATGCCGTGCTCGATGGGGTACTTCAGAGTCAGGATACCCCTCTTGCTCTGGGCCTCGTCTCCCACGTAGCTGTCCTTCTGACCCATACCCACCATCACACCCTGCGAGAGAAGACAACACGTCAGAATATCAGGAACAAGAAAAGTCAAATCCCGTGATAAATGTATGTGCATTTGCATTCAGATTCCATGTCCCTTCTCTCGATCCCTACCTGGTGACGGGGGCGTCCAACGATGGATGGGAAGACAGCACGGGGGGCGTCATCACCGGCAAACCCAGCCTTGACCAGGCCAGAGCCGTTGTCGCACACGAGGGCGGTGGTCTCGTCGTCGTCACACATGTTTGGTCTTTACTTGGCTGGCCTTCTGTACAAGACAGAGCATGGA